CCTCCAGGCGGGCGGGGAAAGGCGTGGGGGAGGCTGGGCCCAGAGGCCTGTGAGAGGATGGGGAGTTATTTGTGGCAGGCGGCCTCACTTCCTTCCTCCACCCCCTTCCCTCCGCCTCAGGGACTGAATGTGGACGCAGGAGCACGGCATCCCGGCCAAAGGGCTATTTTAGTGCTGGCAACTCTCGTTACTCCACGGCCTTCCCCACCCACGGGACAACGCTGTCCAGGAAGTGCCCGGGAATAGCACTGCATTCCCGAGGAGGAGGAGGAGGAGGAGGAGGAGAAGGAGAAGGCCCAGCGAGCCATGTGGAGAACCTACCTCCAAGTAGGTGACACCAAAGGCCCCCAGATGCTGGGTGATCAGAAGATTGCACAGGCTCCCTGTCCTCCCCCGAGAGAAAATTCCCCCCCTGAAGGAGCCGTGTCCAAGGAAGCGGCTGAATTCCCATGCAAAGAGCTTTCTCCGTAAATTAACTTCTCTCCCGGGGGAGGAAATGATACGAGCTTCTTTTAATAGGACTTTGATCTCTTGGGCTCCACACAGAACCGCTTCCCTCGCTGGGATCCTCCAGCTGTGTGGTAAAGGGCAGCAAGGATTTATAAGGCAAACACCTTTTTTAAACTCTGCCAGCACGTGCAGGGTGAACAATGTTAATAATAAACTTTCGGGCCTGCTCTGCGTGCTGCCTGTGCAGCTGTTTTGGGGAGACAAATAACTTTTTTAATTCTCGTTTACACCGATTCAGTATCTACTGCGGGCAGGCTTTTGCTGGGGTAATTTAATAGCCTCTTCCCCTGCATTGGGAAGAATAAGTCACAGGATATCAATCCCTCCTTATTCACCTAACAACCCTCCACGGGAGGCTGGAGGACTGTAATTACGCAGCTCTTGGTCAAGTAGGACAACTTTGCATAAGTCAATAAATGTGGAGGCATTTCACTTAATATCTACACCCCCTCCCCTACATAGCCAATGTAAAACCACCGTCGCTGATGAACCCGCTGAAAAAACCCTTCAATTATCGACAAATCACACTGAAAACACCACCGACATGCCCTTTGTGCCCAGGGATTCGGACACCACAGATTTGAATCCTTCTCCGCTGATGTTTAATTGACAATCTGGTACCGACACCGTTTCCTCTTCCAGTTCTCTTTTGTTTCGCAGTCGGGAGAACTCACCGCACGCTCTGCCGAGCCATAGACAAACGTTCAGGACGCACCAGGTGCGTGTGACCAGGGCGCATTTACTTCCATCTTTGCGCAGGTCCTTGTTAACGCGTGCCTGTTTGCTCTCTCCAGCTTTGGTGCATATGCCTTCCCCTCAGCCTGTTCCATCCAAGAGGCTTTTCTCCGGTGTTAAAGGGAGCAAAAAAATCAAAAGTATCTTCAGGATTAGAAGCGTAAGCAGCCACTGCTACAAAACCATGGGGAAGGAAACATCTAAGGAGACTCTAAACTCCTGGTCACAAACAATAAGCACCGGTCTCCTGGCATTAGTGACAGTGCAGTACGCTCTTAACAATAACAAATTTAAAGTATACGGTGTTCTCATCAGAACAGGTGTCTAGATTTCTTCTTCCCAAGCGTGAACAACTCAGATGAAAGAGGAATCCTCTCCTTCGGAATTTCCAAAACACATACAGCGCAAATGATTGTTTACCTGCACCTCCCAAGTCACGGTATTGATACGCAGCTTTTTGTCTCTGATAAATAATTAACGTTTTCCTTTACAAGAAAGAAAATTAACCTGAAAATGAGGACCAGAGGCAGAGGAGATGTGCAGGAGATGACGTCCCTCCGGCAGCCCCGGCCCTGGCACACGTGATGGTCCTGTCGCACCATATTGGCATGCGTTTGCTTGACTTACCCGAGCAGGCGGAGGAGCGAGAGCCACGCTCCCTGCGTGCCGAGCTCCTGCGCGGCAGCAGTCCTCGCTCTGCCCCAGAGACCTACGCGTTTGGGGAGGATGCAAAACCTCGTGCAAGGCCTGCGTGATTACAGCTGCGCTCGTCTGTGGAGCTCCCAGATACCTTTAGGAGCAGCCGTTAAGCAGGCGTCTGTTTGCGTTCGCTATATATTCTGTGTCTTACAACTGCGGGGCATTTGGGACCTGTTCTTCCTGATCAAGGTATCCTTCCCAATGGGCGTAGGGACCTGCCTCCACTCCCAGCAGTCACTACAAATAAAATTCAATAGTAATATATAGTGAGGTATAACTTGAGGCAGCAATTTCCCCCAAAAGACACTAGTCTTATTTAATTGCTATTTATCTTCCTAGATGCTAGCAACAGGGAACATGGATTCTCGCTTTCTACTTGCAATGAAACTTTGCAATTTGTTTTAAGTGTTGGGAGTTTGAAGGTGGCCCACAAAGGCAGGGGGATTTGGGGGACGGAGGTACGGAGGGACCCAGCCTTGACCCCTGCGCCCTCCTCCCAAGCTGGATGGTGGGGCAAGCCCTTGGCTGCCTTCCTGGGGCCCACAGTCAGACTCTTCCCGACTTTTGGGGGGACCAGGGACCAGTGGGGCTGCCCAGTCCTACGCCAAGCCCCGTGATGAGTGTCCCTCGGCTGCTGCAGCCAAAAAACAGGGCAATAAACGCCTGGCGCTGCCAGAGCCCCTTCTCTGCGAGGGGCTTTACTC